TTGTGATACTTTTTGATTTTACACAAACAATAAGTTTCTTTATTATTGGTGTCATTGTTATGATTTTACAGCATTTATGAGGGACAGCACTGATTGAATTGAATAGATATGGTGGAGCAATATCTACTAATCTGACGACAAGTGAAATAAATACTATAGTCTTGATGTGAATCATTGTTCAAGAAGCTCTACCTTCCCAGTAATCCTGTAGCTATTCCTGCAGGTTCTTCCTGTTGTCAAGTTCATATTAATATATTATCACTAGTATTATAAATATTAATTGTTTTGTGTTTTTGAAATAAAATAATTCATTACACAATGATATATGCAAGATTAATACCTTCTCTTAGCTGGAAACCTCCACTAAGTATTGCAATTTGATTCCAAGCATAGCTAGCTACGTAAAAGATTACTTGCTGTTCCCAGTTTTGAGATCTATCCATCTGAGCATGCGCGACCACGCCCAAATTTTTGGAGCACATGCACATGCTTCTTTATTTAATTAACAAAATGGCGGCATGAGGTAAGCTGGTGCGATCCAACAGTCACAGTATCACTTTTTCCTTTCTTGGAGAATGATTCCAGGAAACAAGGACCTGCGCATACCCTGTTGGAGTAGAATGGTGTAAGAATTAGCCTTCTATCACCAGGCAAGCTCGATATATCGACCGACAACTGGATTGACAGGACTTTCCTGATGATGAAGATGAAAAAAGGTGGCTGAACAAAACGGCCGGTTTGCAGATTTTTTATTTTTCTCCCAGAAAAGGTCTAGAGCCACGCTATGGGTACCATTGGAGTCCTCTTGTCAAGATAAGGTCCTCTAAGAAGTCTAGTAAGCATAAGAGCTCGTTTTCCCGGTATAGCAAGGCTGCAAAAGTCGTGGCAGCCATTTTGTTTGGGGGTGAATCCTACTTAGTAACGCTACCGCGTTACTAATAGTACACGGTCTCAGGCCAAATTTTGCCAAAATAGAAAAGGAGAGGATTCTTCATTTTAATAATTTTTTATGATGCATATACATGTTCTTATGTTGCGTAGAAACTTTAAGCTAATTCCAATCGAAATTGAATTTTTTATGAATTTTAAAAGTTGCTCCAAAATCAGGTAAAAGTCCCTGTACACGGTCTCGGGCCAAATTTTGCCAAAATAGAAAAGGAGAGAATTTTTCATTTTTATAATTTTTTCTGATACATATACATGTTTTAATGTTGTGTAGAAACTTTAAGCTAATTCCAATCGAAATTGAATTTTTTATGAATTTTTAAAGTTGCTCAAAATTTGGTCAACTCAAGACCATGGGTTATAATGCATTGTATTTCCTCACAAATGGCTAAGAAAGAATTCTCTACTTTAAAAAGAGAACACTTGACTGTCCCTTACTAATGGTGGGAGGAGGTATTGGTGAATAGAGTCCGGCATCAGATCTGAAGTTCTTGTAGAGGCAGACCAGATAAAACAACTTAAACTGAAAGAATAAAAACGAGAAACCTTTGGCGTGATTAGCAGGATCAGTCCATTTTAATCTACCAACCTAGAGAAAGAAAAAAGAATAAGAACTAAATTGACAACATAAGGAAAAATAATAGTATACAATTAAATGTATACAGAAACATTGCACAATTCTGCATGGACAGCACCAAGTTTTTACTAGGAAAAATTCATCAATTCCATCTTTTGTCAATTTATTTAATGTGACAGAAATATCCACATTCTATAGTTCATGGATCATAGTAGAATGATAACAAATTACTGACAAATACAAAAGAAAAGATTTTGATGGGAATGCTTCCCCAAGCACTATACAGTACATGTACATCTTCCCTCCCTCCCTTCCTCCATTACTTGAGTGGTGAGTGTGGTCAGTAGGTACTCCATTAGTGAAAGAGCTGGATCTGACGATACATTCTGTGCCACACATAATGGCTGAATAATCCTCGTCGATACCCAGTCTAAAAGGGTTAAAAATACCAATAACACAGTACACAAAGGGTTAAAAACTAAACTAATATACACTGTACATGTACATGCACTAATTATGGGATTTTAAAATGATATCAAATTTTCTTTAATTTTAGCTAGCTCCTAATTATTATTAATATACTGACACTTTTTGGCATTGTAAAAATCCCTCACTAAATTTCAATACAAAACTAAAACTAATTAAAACTGTGATAGGGGAGGAGTTTCATTACCATGGCGATCAGGAGGTGTCTCGTTACTTGAATACCGCCCGTATCTCTCGCAGAGTGAGTGTGATGATGAGGGTGTGGTTAGGGGTGTGGTCTCCATGGGTAGTCCCAGTGGTGTCTTCTTGGGAGGGAAGTGAGGGATGGCCGAGGCCAGTAGCTCAATACAAGCGTCTCCTGCTTTATCTTGTAAGGATTGTAACCAGAGGACTATCAGCTTGATACCATACTGTCTCAACTACAGCATTAATAATAAATTAATAATAAATAAATAATAATATTAATAATACTAATAATCATTATTATATTTATAATCAATGTTACCGTACCTCTATTGTATTGTCAGGATGAAGTAACTTCCTAATTATAAGACCTAAAGAATTTAAAAAATCAATACACAATCTACAAGAACACTCCGTGTTTTCTAATTCACATACAAATACGTGCACAGCGTAAAAACTTTTATTAAATTCTGATTGATATATTTGTGAGTTTTAGCTGTTTGAAAAATACAATGGATGCCAATTCTAAAAATTAACCCAAAAACATTCAAATTATCCGATATACATTAAATCAGTTAATATTGGCCTCATTGGTCTCCCAGCCACACCCTTTAATAACTAGAAACGGCTAAAGGTCAAGAGTTTAATATATGAGAATAAAGTATAGCAGGTTATATCAGTACCCTGTATAATATAACCACTATACACACTCATATGGCAGCAATAAACAATACATTATATTGGAGTAAACATAAATAAATAAATAAATAAATAAATAGTAATGTATACTATATGCTCACATATTGAGTTGTACTGCCACTTCTGTTGTACTAGTTCGGGCAATAGTATAATTAGTCTCTACAGGGTTAAAAATTAATAATTAATAAAGTAATTAATTAATCTAATAATTGATTAATTTATTAATTAACTTTATGATAATACATCATTATAATAATTATTTACAAGAGCCATTACCTCAAGTGATGGTAATATAACTTCCATCATTTCTCTTAGCTGGTCACTAATAGCTCTCCCTTTTGAAACTGAAGGAAGAGAAAGAAAAAAATTAATCTTTTAAACCTTATTTATTTTGCTAACTATTGAACTAAAACACAAACAAAAGCTCATACCGCAAACAGACATAAACAAACGAATACAAACAAACCTCTCTCTCTGATCTGTGACTCCATCATAGTGAACGAGGAATGGAACACGTAAAAAGCAGCTGCTGAATATTCTGATAGAATCTGCTTACACTCACCAACTGATACTTTATCTAACAGAGAAGGAGGGAGAGAGGGAATAAATAAAAGAGGAGGCCAATAAAAAGATGCCCTATATATGTAAAATATTATAATAATTATTATATAAACAAACCCAGTCCATTCCTGAGTGCTTTTAGCCTCCTCAGTGGCTCGTTGCTCATGTTAAGGAACCTCTTAATGTGGGCTGCATGCTCTGAACTCGGCTTCTTCCTACCCAAATACATCAGTAACTAAATGGAGAGGAAGAAAGAAGCAAAGATATTATATTAGGGGAGAGATGGACACGCTCTGTTACTCTAATTAATGCTCTAATCCCGCCTTCTTTGATAGGGTGTGGCTAAAAGAGAAATATGGGTGGGGCTGGACTTGCAAAATTCTTTGATGTATCATGCCAACTCATGATTTGCTGTTTCACCCAATAACAAAGAAAGCAAGCCTCCATTTATAAACCTTAAGGAAGGTATCTGCTGTAATTGAGCAGTCATGGGTGGCGGTGATGGAAAGAAAGAGTCAGGAGCTACGGGAGGAGGGAGCGAGAGAGACTCACTCTCTCTGAGCTTAATATCACAGTACAATGAGATACCTCTAGAGAGGGGAAGAGAAATAGACCTGTCCTTCTTAGTGAGGATAAAAGCAGTGGCTGAAATGAATGAAGATAGACGAGCACCAGTGACACTGATAGCTACCATTGATAGGAGGTGAGAGAGAGAGAAGATGAAAATTGATCAAAGTTTAATTGGTCCTATTAATTGTAGTGTTATTAATTGTATTTCTCTCTCTCTCAGTGCTAGTATGAAGGACAAGCTCCCGCTGGTTAAGGACAGTTTAAAGTTCATGGTACAACAATTAAGAGACGAAGACAAACTGGCAATCGTTACTTTTGATCATGAGGTAATGTCATTAAAAATAATTATGTAAATATAATTAGTGTGGTAGTTGTTTGTTTGGCGAAGTCATTTATATTGCTATTTGGGTAGCATTCTGTATAGTGATTGCTATGTGTGTATTTTTATAACAGTGTGTGTTTATCTTTTGTTAGGTTGATAAACTGTTGCCAATTACTTCAATGACGTCGTCTGGTAAAGTGTTAGCAAAGAAAGCAATTGAAAGCATAAGAGAGAGAGGACATACCAACCTCAGTGGAGGACTACTGGCTGCTTTACAGGTACTTGAATATTAGCATTTACTATAATAATATTTGGGAAGAGATTCAATTAAGAAGCAATGAAAAAAAAATTTTAAATAATAATTATTTTCATGTACCTTGTAAATGCCTTGTTCACACCTTTAGGTGTGAACAAGATTATTTTAATATATTTCTCTCTCTCTCTCTCTCACTTTCTACTCTCTCTCTTTCCCCAACTAGTTGCTATATGATGTTCCATTAAGTGAGAGTACATTAGTTGAATCTATTGTATTATTCACTGACGGTAAAGCTAACTTTGGTATTAAAGACAGAGAACCGCTAGCCAAGGCAACAAAGTAAGAGAAATAAAGACTAAGACAATTTATATTATACATTAACTGATAGTCTGTGAATTATTTTTGTTTCTTCTCTCTTTCTTCCTTTTCCTTTCTCTCTCTCTCTCTTCAGGTCAATGGTTAATGAGATTGGTCGTCAAGTGTGTGTATTCACATTGGGCTATGGCAGTGATCATGATTCTGATACATTGCATGCTATCTCTGATGCTGGAAACGGTTTGTTTTATTTCGTTGAAAATAAAGACAGCATCCCTGACAGTTTCTGCGACTGTCTTGGAGGATTACTCAGCATTGCAGCACAAGTAACAACACAAATAATAATAATAATAATATAATTGTGATAATATTAATTTATTGTTATTAGAATCTGGTGTTGACACTCACTGTTAATGATGAGTTGTGTCGAATGGTGAAGCCTCCATTGACATCATACGTAACAGAATCATGTCCAAAACAAACATACAAGATCACAATACCTGATATATACTGGTATGGCATGCTTTGTACTGTATTGTATTGTATCTATCTAAGTATTAAGAATCAATTCATAGTGATGTGTTTTCTAACAGTTTATTATTAAAAATGCTCTTTGCCAGGCTTACCCACAAAGCATGCTACTTGTAAGCAAGCTTAAAAGGATGCTTGACAAGCAGTATAATAAATAGCATATGAATTTTAATTTTGATTGCAATCAGTTCAAACTTTCCACACAGCATAAGGGTTTGTATATGTATCAAAATTTTTTTGATAAAAAATTTTTCTTTTCAATTTTTGACAAATTTGGCTAACTATAGATTTTGGAGCAACTTTAAAAATTTGTAAAAAATTCAATTTTGATTGGAATTAGCTCAAACTTTCTACACGACATAAGAACATGTATATGTATGAGGAAAAATTATAAAAATGAAGAATTCTCTCCTTTCAATTTTTGACAAAATCTGGCCAACGTCCCTGTACTATAATACAGGGACTTTGACCCAATTTTGGAGCAACTTTAAAAATTCGTAAAAAATTCAAATTTTATCTAAATCAGTTGAAATTTTCTACATGACATAAGAACATGTATATATATCAGAAAAAAATTATAAAAATGAAGAATTCTCTCCTAGTCATTTTTGGCAAAATACCCTGTATACTTAGATGGTTTTTGGCCAAATGATGTTATAATAACATCACTATATCACTGTTAATTTACAATTATTACTATCTATTACTCCTATTCTAGAATATTTTGTCAATATTACCATTTGTTTTTGTTATTACAGTGAAGAAGAGAAATGCATACCGATACATACAAGACTCCTCGCTGCCTCATCAACTGCTGGTTGTATTGAATCAAAGGCACAAATTCTCTCTTGCTCTCTGACTTACTTTGACATCCTCCGCTGCTCACCAAAGACCACTACAGCTACTGGAGCAGTCCTAGTTAGCAAAGAGATATCTGATCCAGTTATAGTCAAAGAATATCAAGAGGACATTGAACTACACCTCACTAGATATGACGTTGCTGAAGCAATATCCTCAGCTACTAAACTAGCCGATGAAGGTCAGCTTGAATCAGCCAGAGCTGCTCTCCATCGCTACAAAGCTTGTATCAAGAAGAGTGTTGTGTTTGGTTTGCCACTTGCAAAGTATTTTGAGGAGACGATTGATGAGTCCTTGAAAGGTTTAGCATCCCAGTCGCATTATTCTGGGCACGGTAAACCCTCAATGATGAATTACAGTTTATCTCATTATCAGCAACAATCCCACGGAGCTGGAGCTGGAGCCTCTTCAATATTGTCTGATGGAAGTGGAGTAAAATAAGTCCAGTTGAAAATTGGAAACCAGATTATAGGCCTCCTCTGTCTCGAGCTGATACATGTATTTCTAAGCATTATAATAATTATCCAGTTGCTGATGGCAATATTGCTGCTATTGATTTTGGTACTACATCAGTTTCAGTTGCCTTTTTTAATACAAAAGGAGACGAAATTATTAAGATGCTTGGCCTTGACTTTGAACACTTCTTCAAACGTGTTCCCAATGCTATCCTTTTTGAGGAAAGAACATGATGGCAAAATGAAAGTGAAGGCTTTTGGATTTCAAGCTAGTCTTCCCCTGAGATTAATTGATAGATCTATATACCGGGGGTACTCATGTTTATTTTGAAAGAATTAATATGTTAATGAGAAGAGGAAAGGTAACCGATTAAGTAGACAATATTTATTTATGAATTAGTTCTGCTATAGGTAATTGATAGAGATACAGTAGTTGAGTCATTTTTTGGTGAGAAGTTCTATCTGATTGAATTCATTGCATTCATACTTCAGCACCTGAAGAATTTATTGATGGATCATTTCTCTCGTACTACCTGGCCATTGAAGACAACAGATTTTGATTGGGTCATTACTGTACCTGCTATATGGGATGCACCTGGAAAAAGAATGATGAGAGAAGCTGCTTATCTGGTAACTAAGTGATGAATCTAGACTATTTTAACCAATAATTAATTCTATAGGCTGCTCTTGAGGTTGGTGTCAAAAGCAGAAGTGGTATCGATTATGAAGATAACATGCTATGCATTTCTAAGGGACTAGTAGAATCCAAGCTGTTTGGCCCAGCACTAAAAGGTATAGTAGAGTGCACTTTGGAAGCTATCAAAGCAGATGATAATGATCTTAGCACTTTTTATTTGGTTGGTGGGTTTGGAGGTTGTAAGTATGTCCATAAGAAAGTCAAAGCTGCTATAAGAAAGTTTGTATTGGAAAAATTCTTTTTGCAATGTGTTTGTACCCACTGCTCCTCATCTTACAGTTGTTACAGGAGCGGTAAGGTGGCGTATGAATCCAGGGAAGATTAAAGCAAGACGATCTGACACTACGTATGGGATAAAGGAATAGCTCAAATTTCAATGGCAGTAAGCATGATGAGTATTACAAGTTTTATAATGAAGAAGAAAAAGAATACAGGTGCAATAATATATTTTGTGTGTTTTAGAGCTGATGCAAGCTGATCAAATCATTTCAATGACTTTGATACCACTTCATCAATCAGATGAACAAATTACCATTGGTATTTATTCCACACCTAATCTTGGAGTTTGATACATCAAAGGTAAAGATGGCAAAAGCACAGTTACAAAAATAGGTCAATTACATATCAATGTTCCTAATCCTGATAATGTATTAAGGGAAAAGCGTCTAGTTGATGTCAGTATGAATTTTAGTGGTACAGAGATTCAAGCTAAAGCAACCTATTGTATTACTGGAAAAGAATTCAGAGATATAGGTGACTTTCTTTCTGCTTAGACTTAGACCATTAATTTTTTTAATTTACTTTTTATAACTGGTGTGCATGTAGATCTAGTTCTAATTATATTTTTACCTTCACACCCATGTCCATTTAAATTTAAATTATGATTAACATTTCACGGGCCTTATTAACCTATAATTGCAAAATTGGGAGTTTATACTCTCCCAAAGCCCTCCTCTTTCAGCGACCCTGCAAATGTAGCTACATGTAGCAATACCCAGTCAGACTTACTATTTAATTCTATTTTGGCAGCTACTTTTGTGGCTTGTGATTAGTTCCAAGAAATTAATATTCATAGTGAGATACCCAGGAATTGTTATGATAGTATGGGTAGCCGGGCTATATAAGCACATTACAATAATTTACTAGAGCTACATTACAGCTCATAAGAGAATGGCATTGGCAGCATCTGGAGGTTATTTTGCATTTGGAATCAGAAGAATTGAAATTTTTCAAATTGGACTGCGAAAGCCAAATTATAAACCTCCTCTGAGCAGAGCTAAGAAGATTCCTCGCACAGATACTGGCTATCGTGTGACTGATGGTAATATTGCTGCTATTGATTTTGGAACTACATCAGTGTCACTGGCTTATACTACCAAAGGAGATGATGAAATCACCAATCTTAGGCTCGATGAAGAAGACCAAGCTTATCGTGTTCCTAATGCTGTTCTACTGAAGAAAGAAGGAAGAACGATAACTGTGCAAGCTTTTGGCAATGATGCCAGAACACAATTCACTCAAATGAGAAAAAGTGGCGAATACATTTACTTTGAGAGGATTAAGATGTTGATGAAAAGAGAAGAGGTAAGCTATACGCAATAGTTAAATATAATTTTATAGTTTTACTTGCAGAATGTTGACAGAAATATGCTAGTTGAGTCATTTTCTGGTGAGAAGTTCTATCTGGTTGAAGTCATTGCATTCATACTGAAGTATCTGAAGAATGAGCTGATGAAAAAATTTTCAGAGACTGCCAGGCCATTGAAGACAACAGATTTTGATTGGGTCATTACTGTACCTGCTATATGGAATGCACGAGGAAAAAGAATGATGAGAGAAGCAGCTTATCTTGTGAGTTGATGCATGAGATTATATAGAATGAAAGTATATTTTTCATTCATAATGACATTTAGGCTGGTTTAATGACAGGATATGATGGTATTAGCAGTTTCACGTCTGCTGCTCTTTCTGTTCCAAGAGAAATTAATCCCGACAGGCTGTCATTAGCACTAGAGCCGGAAGCAGCTGCTCTTTATAGCCAGGAAAAAGTAGGAGACCAGATTGATGTTGATCCAGCCACAGCAGTTATCAAGCGTCCATCAGATTACATGGTAATAGATGCTGGAGGTGGTACTATAGATATCACAGCTCAAATTGAAGTTGATGGTAATATTATAGTTGAGAATATACCAACCGGCAATGCATGGGGAGGTACCAAGATTAATGAAGCTTTTTCTCAACTTTTACAACATATAGTGGGTGATTCTGAGTTTAAATCGTTCCTCAAACCAGAGCAAAAGTCTCAATGTAAGGCTACATTGAATAAAATCCTATATGTTGATTTTGAAAAGCAGAAAGTTCTTCTTGGCAATCAAAAATCAACCGAAGTTGCAGTTGCTTTGCCAGCAATGTTTGTGAGGCACTACAAAGAAGCACTAACAAAAGTGGCAAAGAAGGAAAATGGAGTCGAATATGATGAGTATACAAATGATACGCTATACATAGAAAAAGAAGTAGCTGAATCTCGTTTCTTTGGTCCAGCAATCAAAGGTATTATTGATTGCACACTCAAAGCTATTGAAGAAAATGGATATAAAGTTCGTACCTTCTATTTGGTTGGTGGATTTGGGGGCTGCAAGTATGTACACAAAAAGGTAAAAGCTGCTATAGAAAAGGCTTATAGTTCAAAAGGTTGTTCCTGCGATGTGATAGTGCCTCTTTCTCCTCAGTTAGCTGTTGCTCAAGGTGCTGTAATGTGGCGTAAAAATCCAGAGAAGATTAAAGCAAGACGATCAGATGCTACATATGGGATAAATGTATCTATACCATTTGATGATGATGAGCATGATGAGTATTACAAGTTTTATAATGAAGAGCAAAAACAAGACAAATGTGATTACGTGTTCAGTGTATTTTTAGAAAAAGGAGAGCTGGTACAAGCAGATCAAGTCATTACTATAAGCTTAACACCAGCTTATCAATCAAGCAAACAAATTACGATTGGTATTTATTCCACACCTAATCTTGGAGTTCGGTACATCATAGATACAAATGGCAAAAGCACAGTTACAAAAATTGGCCAATTAGTTATTGATATTCCCAATCCTGATGATGTACCAAGGAACGAGCGTCACGTTGATGTCACTATGGATTTCAGTGGTACAGAGATTCAAGCTAAAGCAAAGTATCGTATTACTGGAGAAGAAGTTAAAACTGTTTGTGACTTTCTTTCTGCTCAATAAAAAAATATCAACAACAGTTTTGCAGTATTATTATAGTATTATAGGACAATTATAACATAAGTTATAATAATTGTGTTTTAGTTTTTCTAGTAGTTTTTTGCTGCAAGCACTCTGTGCAGTTTACTTTGACAAACTGGTATCTTTGAATAATAATTATTACAAAATAATAAACCTAATGAAGCAACGGTATATTCTAGCTAGTTGCACAGTGCTAAATAACAAATTTTTCTTGACAGGTGCAAAGCATCTTCTGCCTCTTTAATTTTTTTTATTTTTCCCTTGAAAAACCTAAAAAATATAAAAAACTATTTAGTAATGTTTTATTATACTTGACTAAAAACCAAAGGTGCACTTGTAGTTTTATCTAAAAGTTTAAAATTAATGATTCAATTAATAATTATGCACCACTATACCATGTAAAGAGGCTCCCCTTGGTTGATGTTGCTGATACTTTTGTTGTTCTTGCTTCTGTTGTGGCTGCTGTGGAGCCACATTTCCAATCAATCCTCTTGTTGCAACATGCAACTGATTACCATACACTAGAATAGGACGATAATAAGTAAGCTCTCTGCACTCATTAACCCCAGACTCATCCCATGTTGATCGATTAGTATCATGTAGCTTCTCATTATACACTTGAGGAACTATCGTTATCAATAGCGGAGGCACAAGTGTCAGCATATCTTTTGTAAGAATAACTGCTTTTTGAATATTATCTTTCAAACATTCTTGATTGCCTTGAAGAGTAAGTACCTATACTTACAAAACAGAACAATGACATTTGGGTTGGTTGCCATATAGACATGCAAGTAGTGCTGGTAAAATTGTAAAAAGTGTGTATATACAAACCTCTGAAAATATCTCTTTTTGAGGTCCTCTTATTCTAAAATCACAAGCACTTAGAAGCAAACCATACACCTGATATGTTTCTTTTGTATCTGCTCTTTCAATGGCCATTTCAGTGGATGAGCACTCAAGGCTTTTCTTTAGATCTTCTTCTAATTGGTATAGAATTTTTTCAACAATGATTTCGTAGCAGTCCTACAAATTTACAAAGTATGTATAGTATTGATTTTGCTATAATGTCAGTAAGCATTAATTTTGTTTATAATAATTAACCTTTATCATCTGACTATGCTTTTGATAACTATGATGTTGCTGTGTTTGAAGTAATTCTGGACAAATGATGTAATCTTCCAAATGAATTCTGCAAGTTAACACTATAAAAATTGTAACATGATATATACATAATGTACTTTTCTTCCATTTGTTTCTTTTTTGTTTTCAACAAGTCAACTTTTCTATAAATTGATTATTATAATTGATCTGTACTGCCGCGTTAACCAGGCTATATATAATTACAATTTTTGACCACTGGGAGTTTCTAAAGGCTGTTAATCATTATGTAGGAAAACTAGATAAGACCAATGGCCACTGTCAGTTATTACTGAATGCAAAGATAGAATATTTAGATCCTCGGCTTTACCAACGTGCAGTGTGAAAAAAATGACAGATGCATGCAGGACTGAGCTAAAAGATCACGTATGTGAAAAAGCTGAAACCACAGGGCCGCCTTTGCTTTCAGTCTTTTCCTTGTATTCGCATTGAAAAAGTATATCTATATAGATCTATCTTAGTCCAAATGGTAAACTAACTGTGACAGCCGAGCCTTTTCCTTTTCCAATATTCTTATATTTCTATTTAACTTAAAGTGATAGCTAGTTAGACTATAATTGGTTATGGACCAGAAATCAATTTATAGACCTGTTATAAATTTAAATTAATTAGACTATTAACAATTTTGGTTTAATAACCCATTCTGCTATGTACAACAACCTTACTACACTGATTCTTAAAAATTGTGTAAAAATAAAACAAAGATTAGAATAAAATAATAACAAGTACATTCTCATACAACGATCATTGAACTATTATAGTACAAAATAATACGAGAAAAGAGTCACGTCTGAATTCGTCACAGGTACACAAAACTGGCCTTTAAAAAAGTACTTTTCCGGCTGTATCATGAAGTGGAAAGGTCTAAATAAGTTCTTTTGGTCCTGTTCTCATATAAACATAAAAAATGGTAAATCACAATACGATTGAATCCATATACTCTCAGCTATCTTTCCCGCAGAGGTACACAAGTGGAAAATGGGCCGACATTGGCAATTTATTGTGATAGCATCGTCAAGTGTCAATCAAAATGAAAGTAGTGGCTTTCTTATCCCTTAGTAATGGTAGTGTAATGTTTTAGAGAGACACAAGCCTTTTTGACAGAGAAGTAGCAACAGCGATTTGCCAGAAGAGTCGGCCATCTTGATATTGATAACAGAGATTGTGAAAAATCTTTATACAAAAATGATGCGCTCAAGTGATCCTGTTGCCAATCCTGGTTACGTAGTCTATTATTATTATATCCCTGGTTAGTGATACTCAGATACCGTATTTCCTCGTGGAAACGCCTACTCCCTATAAACGCCCATGCCTGTATAAACGCCTAGAGACAGCACATAACTTTGACAATAAACGCCCATGCTTGTTTAGACGCCCATTCTTGATTAAAAGCCTATACCACACCCACCTGCCCCATCCACGTGGTACATGTACCTTACGTAGTTTAGTAGTTTACATTCTACAATGGCAGCTGCAGCTGAGAAGGCTAAAGAAACTCAGAAGTTTTGATGTCAGTTTTAAACTACGCGTTGTGTCTATTGAAACATGGTGGTAAGGATTATTTTTGGGTTATAAACGCCCACCTCGTATAAACGCCTACTTCATTTAAACGCCTAGCAAACAGGTCTCTATAAGAAATAAACGCCTAGGCGTTTCCACGAGGAAATACGGTACTGCACATTCCTCATCCCCCCTGTAGTCTCGCGTAGCCAGACCCAACCCCTATTTGACATTTGGATGGATGGCGGGGTACGGGTTTGGGTCTGGTGCTCTGCCCTGCATCATTTCATTCTGAAATTGAAAGAACAGGAAATTACTTTTATTGATTAAATACGCGTAGTTGCATCATTGTGACATTACATTATTACAAAAATAATAATAAATGGATGCAGTTTAACTGCTGTAAGGGCCGAATTGAAGTTAACTTTAAAAGAGAAGAAAAGGGAGGCAATTGATGCCTTTTTGTCTGGGAAAGACGTCTTTGTGTCCCTCCCTACTGGGTATGGTAAATCTCTGATTTATGCTCTGCTACTACTTATTTTTGATGTTAAGAAAGGTATATACATGCCTGGACTTAGTATTGATGCATGAAACATTATTCTTTTGATTGTATGTAGGAACCAAGGGCAGTATTGTTGTGTTAGCCCTTTGATTTCTTTTATGATTGATTACAAAATTAGGTATATGTGCTGAGTTTGTTGGTGACAGTCAATGTGACAAAGCTGCTGTTAAAGCAGTTACTGAAGGACTGATTCAGTTGGTTTTTATTAGCCCAGACAGCTTGTTACATAACTTACTTTTCCATAATATGCTTATGTCACCACCATATAAAGAAAAGTTAGTTGCTGTTGTAGTAGATGAAGCCCATTGCATCAAGACTTGGTACATTGGTATACACATTACACATATATAATAACCTATCCTTTATAGGGGAGATATGTTTCGAGTTGCCTTTGCAGAATTAGGTCAATTAAGAAGTATAACACCAACAAATACAAATGTTTTTTGCCTCACTGCCACAGCTACAAAAGAAACTTTAAGTACAGTTTGTAAAACAATGTCATTAGTTGATCCCATCATTATTGGAACATCATCTTGCAGAGCAAGTATTGCTTATTCTGTGAAATCGCTCCCACCAATAGATGAATTCTGTAGTGTGATTTCACAAGAAGTAAAGCATCATGGCTTGAATTACAAAAAAATTATCTTTTGTCGATCATACTCTGACTGCAGTACAATTTACATTACACTTCATCATAAATTAGGGGAACATTTTGTATATCCACCAGGTTATCCTGATTTTCATGAATTTTGAGTGGTTGAAATGTAGTCCAGAGCATCTACCACAGAAGTAAAAGATGTGATAACATCACTATGTAACATTAAAAGCTCTTTACGCATTGTTGTTGCAACTACTGCTTTTGGTATGGGCATTGACTGCCCAAATATCAGACAAATAATTCATTACAAACCTTCTGCAAGTCTGCTCAAGAATCTGGTAGAGCTGGACGCGACGGACTTCCCTCGAATGCATGCCTGTTATATGGAAGTGCAAGCCAGTATGAAAGACTATGCTGCAAATTGTAAGTTGTGTTGTAGTCAATTATTGTTTCGCAACTTCATAATATCAGATAATAACACTAACAAATGTAGTATTTGTGATACTTGTGTCGAAGATAAGTGATACTAAATGAAATGGCCGTAAATTATGACTACTTAAAAATTAGACATGGTATAATATTCTCAACAATCCACTTCTTTATATCATTGTTATCCACAAAATCTAACGAACAATTGTTAAGTTTAAGAGTATTGTTTCTATGCTGCATTGACTGAAATGCTTCAGTCTGTCTTAATTGATCAATAATTAATTTATGGTCCTTAATGGCATGCTGTGTTGACCCATAGAACTTGCTTTTCCTCTAATTTCTATTTCAAAAGCTCGGAAAACCTCATCAAGGACTCCGATCGCTTTAGCTGCCTTTAACAATGAATGAGGTTGAATATTTGAACCCATTTCGTTAATAATTCCTTTTAGTCTATGATTGAAGTGCTCCATAAAAAAAGTCACAGGCCATGTTGCAGCCCTATCTCCCTTGAATATTTATAAAGTGACTGTCCCTTATCTGTGCAGCTTTTCTTTGTGAAGCAAGGAAGTGATACTCAATTAAAAGATTTGCTGCCTTATTAGCATAATTTCTGTCATTACTTTTAAAGAAATAATCATCAGAAATTTCCAAATATCTATTTCTCGGCCACCATCCCCTTCTCTAGTGGCATCCAAATAGTTATACCATATAAGTCCCAGTGTCAGTACCTCGCATGAGTAATTAAATACTTGATCCTTCACTTTTGGAATTTCGCATGGTAAAAGGCATACAAATTTATTTACTACTTCTTAAAACAGACCGATTAAAGTAAAACTTTCCTCACTTTCATCTTTTAATAACCTCTCTGCAGCTACAACAACATAACACTCCAAAACATCTTCAAAAAATTCTTTTGCAGTATTCATATTGTCTGGATCTTTTGGTACAGAAGTACGATTTATTAGATTTTTGATTTGATACAGAGTGCCCTTATCAACAAATGATTCTTTGTTAAACAGTCTTCTCTATATAACCTACATTTACAATATGTCAGAAGTGTACAATTATTGTTACTTTATACTTTCATCAATGTCATGCATGTATGCCAATCTTCTACCACAGAGTGCACTCCATTAAGTCTGCTCAAATCATCATAGCTGTTAATTCTGATACACTTTGCTCCCCTTACTCTAGCAGCAGTTAACTGATCTCCTAGTAGCACTTCCCACATATCTACTTGTTTATGGGACCTGAATTCTCCATTAGACATATCTGTGCAACTTCTCAAGAATCAAACACTTTTCATTAACTTTGTTTTCATTGTGTGGTTGAATACCAAGTGGAACCTATGCAGTAGACATGTTACACTAAAATTATTATTTCTAATTGTGCATGCTTACAATTGTTGACTTTTTCTTCATTCTCTGCTTCGGTCATGCTTAATATGCAATGTTACAGACTTCTTTTCACAGTGAAAATGAGGAAAATGCTTCAATAGAATCCTATTTAATGAACTATAATCTTACAAAACTTATACATTGTATGAGTTCACCTGGAAACTAAAGTGGAAAATATTTCTTTTATTTTAATAATTTCACTGGCAGTAGGTAGCAAATCTTTGGTGATTATTTCTCCTCTAGGATGATCTGGCAAGGAACTATAATCTACTCTATTCAAAACTGCATAAGAGTGAAAGTAGTGGAAAGAATGTGTGCTATATTCCACACGTTGAAAGCGCCTGCAAAAATTCTTGTCCACATTATCCCTCACTATCTTAAAACCCTGCAATTGGTGCTCGTGGAGAATCTGTTTCATGTTCCTCTTCATCATTATCAATCCTTTCAATTGCATGAATCAAGTCTTCATCACTTATTTTTTGAATCATTGTACTGGCGCACCTCCCTTCCTCCTTATCATTAATGTCATCTACAGCATCAAATGTAGTAGTACTATTACCGGTATGGTCATGATCTTCATCCGTGTCATCTTCTGGAAGAGCTATATGGTTTTCATATAATGCAAATTGAGCTCTCTGTTTAGTCTGTTGCATAGATCTCTCTTGTAATCATAATAGTTATATTAGTTGAACGGTGTACACATATACTTTTAAATGATGCAGTAAATTATCAGACCAGTATAAGACATCAATGTCATGATCTTTAGATATTTTATTAATAACTTTTAATGTACCAGAATGAGACAAGCATAGCATCAGACAAGTAAAAATCTAAAAATAGTAATAGTTATGTAAGTGTACATTATTACTATACCTTTTTTGTACAGCCATTGGCATAGAATAATATAGATATAGCTCTCTCCATCAGAGACATTTTCTGAAAACTATTCTTGTGATTACACAAATGATATTCCAAGATCGATTGCTATCTGACAAAATACCAATCGGCACTTTTACTAAGGTAGGCATTTTATTCTTAACCTCTGACCAGATTGTTTCCCAGTTAAAGTGCGTAAGGCTTCTACATCATCCATCAAAGTAGAGCTATGTTTAACAGAACATGTATTCTTTATTTCCTTTCTAATAGCTTGGCTAATGGAAACTATAGTACTGTTATATGTTCGGTTTGATGTAGTAATTGATGATGTCAATGCTGTACAGTTATTATTGAATATTCTCCGAACATTTGTGCTAGACCATGGACCGTTCCTTTGCATGATGGAAAATCAATGTTAACCTATTTACATCAAAATCATGACTGAATCATTAATGTTAGTCATGGCTTACTGAAACTTCAACATAAACATCACATCTTTTGCCTCAGCATGAACCTGTTGGTGTAGAAGATGACAAAACAACTTCTGATGAAGCTGAGGTGATACTGTAAGTGATTAAGCAGCTGCCTCAGCAGGCATTAAAAATGGCTATGATTAATGAACCCCAATATATCATTCTGTAGATCTGCAACTTTCTGTAGAAGGCCAGGAAACTCCAGATTCTAGTAATGCATTTGTGACAGGACCAAACATCTTCAGTTGAGCTAGGTGTCATTGCTGAAAACTCTTGATTGTAAAGCATCAATGATAAAGTATTAAAAACATCCAAGGCATCTGCTGAACTCTGACTTCTCCAACATCTGTGCCACAGAACAGCAACTCATGGCTACTTAACGTAGTACTTCTAGTTTGTAATTGTCGTTAGTTCACGCCTTATTTTTATTATCATTGAAATTGAATTAATGAAGGAATGATTATAATTATTATAATTGCAATTAAAACAAAATTAATTATGACTCAATTTATGTCATTCATTAGTAACACGTGTTTCCCCTAGTGCCACCGGAAGTCTGGTGGCGTTCAGAATGAAATGATGCGGGGCAGTGCACCAGACCCAAACCCCGCCATCGAAATGTCAAAAAGGGGTTGGGTCTGGCTACGTGAGACTACCTCCCCAGTAGGTGACTCAGAGAATACCTCCTGACTAGATGGTCAGGTGGTGTTTCTGTGAATGCTGAGTATCATTAATCAACTAGGACCATTCCAATCCTACATATATTCTAAACAGTTCAACATCATTACTCTCACCGAGACATGGTGTCATCCCAATATTTCTGACAGGGAAATGCTTCCTGTAAACTATACTGTCTATAGAAACGACCGTGATTCATGGGGTGGAGGTGTCCTACTGGCTATTTCTGATACCATCTGTTCTGAGCAGATTGAATCCCCTACTCACTCTGAATGTCTGCTTGTTAAGTTGCACACACACAAACCCATCATTTTATGTGTTGTGTATGTTCCCCCATCTCCTGACCCTGCTTATCTATCAATCCTCTTGGATTATATCCGTCAAATTGCTAGCTGGTCAGAAACTTTTGTCCTAGGAGACTTCAACTGCCCAGACGTAAATTGGACATCTTTAACCGCTGCATCTAGTCCTTCCAGTTTACTATGCCATTTTGTTCTTGACTATGATATGTGTCAGCTGGTTGAGTCACCTACTCATGAGAAGGGGAATATTTTATATCTCCTTTTGGTTTACTACCCTGACTATGTTTCAAACCTTACTGTTCACACAGAGTGGTCTGTTTTTCCAATTTCCTCTCGTCATTGTCCCTTGACCTCCACTCTTCCTTCTAAAGCTAACCTCACCAACTATTCTTCATCTATGACTTTCCAGTTTCACAAGGGTAACTATGTACTATTTATTGGATGTTAATTTCTCATTCTTTTTTGAATCACTCAATGTAGAGTTTCTTTGGGAAAATCTTAAGAGTTTGATTTTTGATGCTTGTGGGAAATTTATTCCTATAGCATCTTGCTCCAGTCGCTATCCTCAATAGTTCAATGGGAATATCAGACATAACTAAACATAGCTCGCTCTCTCCATAAGAAAGAAAAGAAACAGCCTTCTGTTGTTACCAGCTCTACACTGGAGCGGTTGGAAGTGGACTTAGAGACATACTAAATGCAAAAAAGGAGTTTGAGTCTGACTTGGTTCATATGTTTGCCTTTGACAACAACCCAAGGTTGTTTCAGTACATCAAGAAATCACTGAAGGAACAGTCACTCCCACAGATCCTGCACTTAGGTCCATCATCTGAGACCTCAGACTTTGGAAAAGCCTTATTGTTCAATCAGTACTTCCACTCAGTCTTTTCCATATCTAGACCACCTCTTGATCCTCTCACTCTTCCACCCCCAGATTCTGTTATGTGTGACTTGGAAATCTCAAGACAAAATGTGTTCCTCCAGCTCTCTAGCCTGAATACTGGTAAAGCTTCTGGTATTGATAATATCCCAACTATAGCATTAAAATTATGCGCAACTGCACTATGTGGACCAATTCACCATTTGTTTCTTCAGTGCATTTCTCAGGCCTATATTCCTTAAGAGTGGAAAACTCACTATATCACAGCAATCTTTAAGTCTGGAGATAAAGCATGTGTGAGGAACTACAGACCCATCTCTCGGCTCCCTATACTTTCTAAGGTCCTAGAAAGAATAGTCTTTGATCAAGTATATGAGCACATTACATCCCTAACCATTTGCTTAAAGCAATTTGGTTTTCTGAGAGGCCGATTGACAGTGCAAGAGCTACTGGTCCATTTAGATTCTTTCATAAACTCAATATCAGAGGTTTCCAGTCGGATGTAGTCTATTTGGATATAAAGAAAGCTTTTGATTCTGTGACATCCTGCTGGCTAAGTTGTGGTCTGCTGGAATATGTGGACAAACATGGAAATTTATTGCCACCTGCTTGTATGGTCGTCTACAATGTGTGCATGTGAGAAACAGTACTTCATCTCTGGTACCAGTAACATCTGGGGTACCCCAAGGGAGTAATTTGGGTCCCCTGTTGTTTATTCTTTATATTAATGATTTATCAACAAGTCCTCTACACACATCTCTCTTGTTTGCTGATAATAGCAAATGTCATAGAGTTGTCAAATCTGCACAGGACAGTCAGCTT